AAAAAGTATCTTACTGAGCATTCGAACAAGTAAAAATAGAAACGAAATGAAACTATACTTGTATCCAAAGTTTAAGCGTGCAATTCAAATTAGCAGTTTTTGAAAGCAAAGTTCAATATGAATGTCTGAAAATCATTCTAGATGCATGCGGCAACATGCAGATATCATATGTGAAAGCTAATCACAACTGACTGGCGAAAGTTGAGGCGAGTAGTTAATGAGTCTTTTGTTAACGGGTGTGTTTATGCAGATTTTATTCATAAATGTATACTGGACTTTGTATGCTCTGTATCTCAGAAGATAGGGTGGAAGGATAAAGTGGTGGAAATTGATGAGTTTTATTGATGTTTGAAATTGATATTTCTGCTGTTTGAAGAAACATTCAGAATAGTAAGCGCATTTTATTTTATTGTTGTTCTTATTTTGTAGAATGATACGCTCATTGTTTTCTCCTATGAATTTCTGTTATTGTTGTTTTTTGAATTGTTTGCAATTTATTTTGTTGATTTGTGGGAAATGGCGAGGCTGTGAGCGATGCCTAGATTGTGCAATTAGCTCATCTTTTTTTAAGTTAAAACAGAATGCTGTGTACATGGTATCGTTTAAAATTTATTGTTGTTATTTTAGTTTATAGGTGTGCGTAATTCCAAGATTCCTAAACTGCATAGATTGTGCGATTCTCTGATGTTTTATGAGTTAAAACAGATCGCTATGTATATGGATTCTTGTCAAATATTTTTGGTTAGTAACTTTACATTTTTGCCATCTAAACTTTTTGTTTCGGATTTTTGCCGTAAATTGTGTTTAAAAATTAGTTGGTTGATCTTTACATTATGGTAACTTGGCGAAAATTTGGCAACCAACTCTCCTACAGCAACCCTCTATTTTTTTTTCCCCGCCGCCATTTTGTCTTCACGAAGTAAAGACATGTTTCTTTTCTTCTTATCTACTGAACACTTCTTCCAACAATCTACTAGCCGAATTACACTTATGCTAGAAATTTTATCAAACAAAACTGCTTAATCATGACAAATATTCACTGCAAAATTGGGAAAAAGTGCACAATACCATACACCTTACGCGTTTTTCAAAATAACACATACACATAAACCATGTACACGCCGACTTATTTTTACTTAAAAAAAACATCCCAGAATTGCACAAAAAATGGCATTGCGCACACTCTTCACTATATCCATGTACACTGCTTTTTTCTCATAAATTACAAAAAATTTCACGAAAATACATGACAATTTTCTCAATCTTTAAACCGGTAAAAAACGGTAAAAAGAACATATATGAAATTACCTGATCGCGAAAAAGTATTTACCCTTTACAAATATGAACATTTCCACATATAAAATAAATAAAATATCCAAAAACTTCTAAATCATCTATTACATTATACACGTCACCAACGAATTCATACCGCAAGTATTACAAATACTTAGTATCAAATATATAAATTATTTCCATGCACGTTTATTTCAACTTAAACGTATACCAAATTCCTACAAACATAAAATTCACAAAATAACTATCATTTCATTAAAATATAATTAAATTCAAAAACACTACTTAAAATATAAATGAGCACATACATTAAATTAATAAAAATTACCTTACAATCCGAATTACTTTAAACTAAATCATTGCTAATAACAATTTTCCCAATAATACCAAATTCCTTTCCACCTTACATTTAGAACAATGCATAAAAATAATATCCTCAAATAATTAAAAATACTATCTTCTTCAGAATCTTGATTACGTGGCGGATACACTTTTCTAATTCATTCAATAAAATTATTCAAAGATTTTTTCTGCGAATTTTTCCTCCATACTTCCTCCGCTAAATAAAAAGCAAACTTCGGCTTAATCCTAGTATACGGTGCACATGAGAGTTGGCGAAATTCGGGTTTAAGAGACTAATAAGCGCGCCAATTGTGGTAACCAAGCCGATTTTGGTGCTCTGTAGGAGAGTGCATTTGGGAGCATTTTCGCGCATGCTCATTAAACATTTTAAATTAAGAAGTTTTGATTGGTGCAGATGGAAGAGAAGAATTATTTCAAAGCATTGTTTGAAGTTCTGTTAATCTTCATCTTCGGCTGAACTGAATGGGAAAGGATAACGTATGTCCAGGTAAAATTTATTTATCTTTTATTTTTTGTATTTTTTAAAATAACAGTAGTGGTTCCGCGGAGTTTCTGATTGGTTAATATTGTTTAATTAATCAGTTATTGGTTTTTGATCAGTTACTGAATATGATTTTAGTTTGATAAGATCTTTTGTTCTACAGTTCGAGTTGTAACGTATTTTGTTCTACAGTTCTATTTGCTAACGTATTTTGTTCTACAGTTAGAGTTGATAACGTTATCTCTCGGTTATGATAAGCAGTGCTGTGAATTGTGAATATTGAAACACGAAATTTTTTTGGAAGTTAGAACTGGAAGGAAAGCTTGCTGTAATTCAATGGGCAGTAGATGCCGGATTGCTGCCGAATTTTAAAAATCGCGCCATGGCCGCACGTTTTCGTATACTAGGATTTGGAAGGAACGTGTGGAGTGCTGTTAAGCGTGGGATGAAGGGGACGAAAAAGGTAAGCGAAGAGTTTGACTCTTATTTGGATGGAATATACGGTATGTGGCGGCACCGGCCTGAAAAATAATAAATCGTCATCCTGAAAAAATGAAAGACTTTATATTTGCAATAAAAGCAATATATCCGCCACCCGAGTTTGAGGGCCATGGCATTTGAGTTATGATATAGACCCTAAAACATATGTGACACTGAGCCATGGTATTTAATTTATTATATTTGATATGTGAATGTTTTGTATTTGTTGCGATGCATGTTGAAAATTATATTTTTATTTGTTATAAAGTCTGTTAAAAATTATTTTCAATTTCTAAATGCTTGCTTTTTTTCTTGTGTCTCACCGTATGCTTAGGATTTATTATCTTATGATTATCATTTTGTTTACTTTTTTTGCCAACTCAAACTTGTGGTGACGCTTTACTTTGAGGTTGCCAAAAATTTGGCGACAAACGTAAACGCATCATTTTGGTGTTGGCGACAATTTTAAAAATCGCGCCAAGGCCGCACCGTATACTAGGATTTTACCCTTACCTGATCACGAAAAAGTATTTACCCTTTACAAATATGAACATTTCCACATATAAAATAAATAAAATATCCAAAAACTTCTAAATCATCTATTACATTATACACGTCACCAACGAATTCATACCGCAAGTATTACAAATACTTAGTATCAAATATATAAATTATTTCCATGCACGTTTATTTCAACTTAAACGTATACCAAATTCCTACAAACATAAAATTCACAAAATAACTATCATTTCATTAAAATATAATTAAATTCAAAAACACTACTTAAAATATAAATGAGTACATACATTAAATTAATAAAAATTACCTTACAATCCGAATTACTTTAAACTAAATCATTGCTAATAACAATTTTCCCAATAATACTAAATTCCTTTCCACCTTACATTTAGAACAATGCATAAAAATAATATCCTCAAATAATTAAAAATACTATCTTCTTCAGAATCCTGATTACGTGGCGGATACACTTTTCTAATTCATTCAATAAAATTATTCAAAGATTTTTTCTGCGAATTTTTCCTCCATACTTCCTCCGCTAAATAAAAAGCAAACTTCTCTTTATCACAATGTCTAAATACCCATTTCAAATCAGTTTAGTTAGGGCCATGGGATCCAAAAATTACACAACACAGAATAAAGCTAAATACAAAATTTCCACATTTTTTCCCGATTTCCCCCCTTTTCCGATTAAAGAACCGTAATTCGTCCATTAATATCACATGACATATCCCATGATCTCTCATTTCCCTCACGCAAAATAATGCGTAATCGGAACTGAGTACTGCTCACATTATTACCAAAGTCCCAGGTAGTAACCTTTATCGCCTCCAAAATGTCGCCAAACTAACAGTTACCATATCGTAAAGATCAACTAATTAGTTTTTGCAAGTGCAAAAACCCTGTTTTTGCAGACATTTTAGGATTAAAGTTCAAAATGTAGACAAAATATTTAATAATATGGCACCAAGGAGTTTCTCGCCAAAAACGTTTGGCAAGAAAATTGTTGCCAACGGAGGGCATGTATAAGAGTAGTTCCCAGAACTGATTTATTTACTGTTGGACAGAGGAACTGATGTCGAGTAACTATCATGAAAAACATCTCAAACTTTCCAAAAAATACAGCTAAGGAATATAAGAGTGATGAGCAGACCATATTTTGATGTACTTTCAAAAAAATAAATAAATAAATTTAACAACCTTCGATTTACTGACACCTGAGTGCAATATTCTTCCAAAAAAAAAAAAAAAGTCATTTTTACTTCGCTTCAGATGAAGATGGTGACATGATGAAGATCATGAAAATACAAAAGTACCATTTACTTCTTTAGTGTTATAAAACATGTTGAATATATATATATATCTAATAAAAACTGCAAATTAAAATGTATCATTCTTGTTAACAACACTAAATATGAACTATAACTGGAAATAGATCCACTACTTATTTAATATGTTCAAGGATGCTGATATTTCATATTTTTAATTTTAGAATTTCTGCATGCCATCTTACGAGATTTAAACTAATGATCTATAATCCAGAATCGCTGAAGTCCTGACGAGTCCGTATTAACGGCTTTTGACTGTATCAAAGCTTTTCAAGAATTTACTTCATACATTTAACAAAATTTTAAATAATACACATAATTCAATCTTCCTACAGATATTTAATTTTCGATTAACCGTGTATAGAGTATCTACACATTGTTCACCAAAATTTTCAAATTATTACTTGAGAAGACAGAAAAAACATTTTAGAAGAAATTCACAATATCAGATGTACTGAATTTAATTGGTGAGGCATGCAATAAAGTTAAACTGGAAGAAATTGATAAACATTAACAGTTACTAATACAATACTTACTACTGTCAAATAGAAAGTTTACCGATGAACAACTAACAGCATTGGCATAACTGAAAATATCAACGAAGAACACACAGATGTAAACAGAGACAAAACTGCAGAATTTCTTCAGATGAAGACAGTGTGCGATATGTGCAGTGATTTAAAAAATGCCAAAACATGGGCACGAAAACAATAATGATGATAGAATGTGAAGAATATTTCAAATCCATCAAATAAATTCACTTCAACTACAACACTGGGATATACTAAAAATGTATAACTAGAGAATAAAACGGAGTTTGAATTTAAAAATACAATTTTTGCCCTACTACATAAAAAGAATATCCCTATGGTTTTCAAAAATGGAATACAGCATCTGCCCTCAACCGAAAAATTGAAGATCCACGTAAATTTTATTTTTATTTTCATAAAATCGGAAAATTAAATTTTACTCTCACTTCTTGTTTAGAACATCAGAATTATTAAACTAGAGAATTCTGATTTTTACAACTCAATTTATATAAATCTTTATCCAGTTCACGCAATATTACATTTATATAAACATACAGTTAAATACACAGAAAAAAATTACGGTTCTATCTGCTGCTTCTTATTTTCATTTATCCGGTTCACGCAATATTATATTTATAAACATAAATGCAGTTAAATACACACAAAGAACTTGCGATTATATCCGCTGCTTCTTACTTAACTTTCATCCCTTTTCCAACAAAGTGCTTCAGATGTAAAATCAACACTATTTTCATTTATTTCTCAAAACTTCGTGTTGACCGTTGAATCGCTTACGCCTCAGATGTAAAATCAACACTATTTTCATTTAATTCTCAAAACTTCGTGTTGACCGTTGAATCGCTTACGCCAAAGTATATTTTGCTTACACAGTTGCATTTGGAATTCGTTACTCGTAGATCTTCACGAGGGTAAAGAATAGAAGTCTTGCTTTACATCTACTAAGTCTTTCTGCCTGCAGGGTGAAAAATTAAGTGGGAAGGAAACAGACGATAATTGGCCAATGCCAGAGAAGAAAGTTTCATGCATTTTTATAGGAATTTGAAAGGCCGGATAACAAAAATGAGACAAAAAAGAAGAAAGCAAAAGAAGAAAGCGGGCGCTGCAGATAAAAATATTTTATTTTGCATAGTGTGCTGCCATTGCTCGCTTCGTTGAATTTCTTAATCAAATTTCGTTCAGGTTTTAGAAATATGAAATAAGTAGTAAAACAAATTTGAAATTGAATATTTGAGTTTCCAGAAGCTCATATTCGGGTAGAAGACTATGTTATTCAAAATTTGATGGCTCTAGGTATCGTTGTTATTTCACAATGTGGGAAACATTACCTACATTCATGCAGATTCTTCATTATTTAATTTCTTTAATACTAGGCGACCATATTTTGTGGCAACAATTTGAAGAGATACAGCTTTTATATTGATTCGACACAAAATGCCGTTTCGAGACTAACAGCCCTTCTGAGCAAACACCCTTTTGGCCTAAAAAGAAAAAGGTCCATATTATGTGCATCATATATAAAGTGAAATATTTTTTTTTAAATAAACGGTACTTTTCCGTTTCGCCGGCAAATCTCGTCAAGCAGACTTTATTGGCGACAACATACAGTATACACATAAAAAATTTTAACAAATGTTAGTTCTAAGAATTTTTTATTTTGAAGGCATAAACATTTTAATAGCCTTTAAAATTTTGTAAAAAGACATTAATTTATTATGCTTTCATATTTCAACATCCTGATTCGCTTGTTCGTATCACGTGACCCAAAAGATTTCATCTCAGGTAAACTGTGGTACAAAAGTATAATTCTTTGAGTAATTATTTACATTACTTTCAAGTTAAATCTTAGTTCGGAAGAGCTTACTCGGAAATTATGTAAAACCACAGTGCTTTGCTTCACTAATGCATTCTCATTAGAATTGATAAATTTAACATTTTTTTTTTTTTTTTTTTCCTTCGGGTGAGTGGTGTGATTGCATCCTAATTGACTTAATTATCGTGAATGGCCTTATGGCATAAAATTGAACTATCTGGTAAAACTTCTATGTAATTATATGCCAGTATTGAAAGAAACAACCAATCTGATAAGAAATGGCTGTGACTTGTTTTGAAAATGAGGTGTAAAAAGTTACCAGTGAGGATATTCCATTTGGCATCAGATGTACCATTATTGGCAACTTCATCGCCTGCGTCAGCAAAACAGAAAAGTACAAAATAACCAAATATTTAAAGGGCCTACTTGAAATTAGGAGAGGAACAGAAAAGTAGAAAATAGCCTACCAGTGGAGCGACTCATTTAAAAATCCATCTTGCATCCAATATCATGTTATGCATGCCCTGTATGGGCTTACTCCTGTCGTACTGATAGAAAGAAACTCCAAACGGCAATAACAGATTTACCGCGGTACGTATGTAACAACAAAATTTACTAAAAAATGGAAGTCAAACTACTAAGAACCTGTTACTACCAGCTTGCTAAAAACCTTTATGAAAATCAACAATTGGCAGATAATCCTGTTATCAAAATTTGTCAATGCCCTCTGAGCTGTAACAGAGCAGTATCTATTCTAAACACAAATAATGACTAAAAACTGTTTGTAATTTTGTCTGCTAGTTATGTATAGTTCTGCTGTAACATATATGCTCATATTTTACTTAGTTTCTCTGCATATTTACTTTCAACTCATGTGATTATATATTGTAAGTTCATCCATACATTAATTTATTTATGTCTTGTCTTATACCACCTTACTTGAAAGCACCAAAGTTCTTGCATCTTACTTGTTAATTATTGTTACATGTTTTCAGCAAGCACACTAGTTCGATGGCCTTCTGGTTCAAGAGCTCTATTACATCTCTTACCCTCAAAGTTCATTTTGCTCATTATTTCAGCTCACATATTATTTTTGCTAATTTATTCTTAAAAAAAGTTGTTATTTTGGATTTGGTTCGTGTTTTTGGTATTTATTAGGAAAGTACAACTCTATTCGATTAGGGGTAAGATTTTGCACCCATGTACCCTGTTGCACGGAAGAGGAGAAGTGATGAACTGAATGAATTGTGTGTATCTTCAAGGTGTGAGTCATCTCCCTAGACTGTGTGGTATATTATAATGTGTTGAAGATGCCCCCATAAGGATGAAAATATAAGATTAAATTTGAGGAATTGAAGTTACTATTCAAAAGTATGAGGAGTCCTGAACAATTGCTACTATCAGTGGAAAAAGAAGCTGAAAACTTCTGATCAGGAATGTGGTGTTACATAATTAAGTATAATTGAGCTAGTTATAAGTGCCACAAGGCCAAAAATAAGGTAAAATAATTATAATTAATATATATATATATACAATAATAGGTAAAAATAATATAATAGGTAAATAAATAGATGTATATATATAAATAATTACACTTGCATAAATGTGAACATATACACATTAAGGAGATTATATTTTATAACAAGTGAATTTCAATTAAAGAAGCTAGCTTAAAGATATAAAAGTGGCAAAATGTTAATATATATAAAAATAAAGAACGTCACCTGAATCATATAACACGAAGTGAACTTAAGTCAGTTTAAAGTTTCTTTGAAATGGTGTTGCCACACAATACAAAAACCTCTCTACTTTCTCACAGAAGTCTTCCTGTTTTTAAGATTGCAAGTTTGGCTTCTATCATGCAGGTTAATATATTTTATTTGATTGTATAGAAATTAACTTTTCATAAGATAGCCTTTTATCCTTCCTAAAATATAATATCATAATAACCACAACCATTGTTAGTACATTCAAACCTTAAACAGACCGGTGAAATATTTTACCTTAATTACCAAATTCTGCTATTAATTTATTAAAGAGTGTCATCTACTGTATTGAATTTCCAGCCATGCCACCACTGCCTCCTATGAAGGGATGTACAGTTACAACCATGCCTTCTTCGGGATTCGAACCCAGGCCCTTCGGTATCGCAGTCAGACTCCCCTAACCACTATACTGTCTGGCCAGCGAGTATGGCGGTTGTGCTATTTATCCAGCATTTTTTTAGTATGAAAACTAACCTGTCTCTTTCAAGTAAAAATCAATGTGATATGGCACTGCAATTACCATTCTTTATAATGAAAAAAGTTCATTAAGTCTTATTAATTCATTAAGTAATCTTAATGATATTTAGCTGTTGATTATGATTATCTTGCAATCCTGAAACTAAATTCAGAATTTGATTATTGACAAAAAATAGTTTTTTTAATCCAGGTATGAATCTCTGAGCAAGTGTGTGAATTCTGAATCATTCTGAATTTTCTATTCATTTCACTAATTCATCAAACTTGCTGTTATCTGTGGAAAATTTTTCCTATCAACCTTTACCTGCCTTTTTAATGGTACAGGCAATAGTGGATTTTTAACCTCCCCCCCCCAAAAAATTTCAGACAATAGCTGTCGAAAGTATAATCAAGTTCATAAAATATCTCAATTTTTCAGATCAACATCTTTCTGTTCGAGAGCTTTTCTACAGCCTACAATGACCATCAGTAATCTTAGAAAGTTATCTGAAAGTATGCTGCGTACTTTCACTAAAAGGATAAACAGGCTGCATAAAAATTAAGACATTTTGATGTTGAAGAATCATTCATTTGCTAACCCATAGCTGCCAACTTTGTTGGTTTTTAATTTTTACCTTTTACTAAGCAAAATGTTTCTCGGCAATAAATGAAATTTATTAAATGAATTCTTCCACCTCTAATGATTTTCGAAATATATTTTCTTCTGAAATCCTATTTCATTTGAATTGTATTTTTTACTTATTACATTTTATTGATATTACTAAATTTCATTTGATCTCATTTGTCTTAATCTTGTAGATTTTTATACAAAGATTCAAGCAATGTTCATCGATTAATACTTGTATTTAATTTTGTTTGCTTCAATATATAGTACATTACTAAGCTTAACCACACAAACACTATGTACATTAACTTTTTTCATTGTATTTTAAAGTATTTTAGTAAATATAAGTTTTCCTTCATTACTTAGTTTCTCAGTATAAAAGTCTGAGATAATTAAAAGACAAAATTAGGCACATAATTTAGAATACCCAATTAAATGCTAATATATTTTACATCAGAACTGAATTAAACGTAGTTCGATAATCTGAACCATTTAATTTGAAGTGAATTTTAATTTGATTTTACAACAGACAATCTTCCTATTAATTGGTTATATTTATTTAGACTTGTAGAATTTGAAGATGGTAAATAGTTAAAATTATTTAGTAGTTTAATAAGTGGCACATATATACTCCTCAGTATATATTTTGGTGCATAAAAACTTCTGAAATTTATGTTCAATTTGTGGTAATGTTATCAATGACTTCAAATTTTCCAGGGTAGGTGATCTCCTGTGCAAGATATTGAGAAAATTTGATAATCTTTATGCTAAGAATTATTTTCAAAGTTAATAAATTTCCACTGCTTTATATGATAGAACTTATTATTGACAGCAAAATAAACCAATGTAACCTTTGATAATCAAGAGCTCAGATCATGCATGCATATTAATTGTTATCATAGGATAGTTATAGAGTTTGATAATCGAATTATTTGAATAATATATATATCTACAGTATTCAAAGGGAGTAATATAAGAGGGCTGAATGTATAGAATAAAACAATTTTGTGTCTGATAGAAGAGTACAACTGACGGAAAAATGTTAAGAGCCACTGTTAAAATTCAACATCATTTGAGAGATCTTTCTTAAGTACAGTACATATTTTTAAAAAATGAAACTGTAATATATAACTTTTTGAAGTAAGGTTGCAGCTTACAAGATGATAAATTCTGCATTGAAGTGAGTTAAGCATTTGATGTTCTATAAATTTTTCATTTCTATATACATTTTTAAATCAACAAAAGAATATAGTGGTTTTTTTTTTTTTTTTTTTTTTTTTTTTTTTTTTTTTTTTTTCCATTTTTTTTTTTTTTTTTTTTTTTTTTCTTTTTTTTTTTTGTTTTTTTTTTTTTTTGTTTTTTTTTTTTTTTTTTTTTTTTTTTTTTTTTTTTTTTTTTTTTTTTTTTTTTTTTTTTTTTTTTTTTTTTTTTTTTTTTTTTTTTTTTTTTTTTTTTTCATTTGAATATAGTGGTTTTTTTTTTTTTTTTTTTTTTTTTCTTTTTTTTTTTTTTTTTTCTTTTAAATCATTAGAATAGCTGTTCTATTTACAATGGAGGGGCAGAAAGGAAACTTAGGATTAAATTACAGCTTTGAATATTCGGAGTTCTGTTTAATGAAGTATGTGCATTGAATATTTGTTTTGAATTTAAATTGAGCTTAAATCATTAAATGTCAATCACATAATAATAAACTGTGAGTTATTTTTATGGTTGTTTTGATGATCTGTTATCTCTTATGACAAAAAAAAAAAAAGGGGGGGGGGCATATTTCCCAGTTTATGGTTGTAGGTTTAATTCAATTGGTATGTTAAGAACCTGAGGCTAAAAAGAAAGAAAAAAAGAAGTAAATAAATGTTCATTTTTTATAAGAGTAAAGCTCATCCATTAATATTTGAATAGTGTTTATTATATTCTAATATCCTGTTGCTATTTAAATTTCTTCACTGAAACATTCTGCAGTACTTATGTATTACCCCATCAACCATAAAAGTTGATGGAAATGCTGCTAAGTTTCTGTTAGTCATTCCTTGGAACTCTGAAGCACTGACACATCTTTATTTAACAAAAAATCAATATTCAACCTGCTTTGTAAAAAGGATTTCACCGATTTCTGTTATTTTGTTTTCCTTCCTGATTTCACTGGAAGCTCTGTTTAGAATGCCATGAGTAAAACTTTCCTCAGGTAATTAATTGTTCCAACCTTTTTTTCATGTGGCATATATAATTCCTTAGACAGAATTCATCGTTTCATGTTTAAGTGTTTATCTATGTTAATGTTAACCTTCTAGACGCACTTTAAAAGATTTTTTTTTTTTTTTTTTTAAATAAATAAATAAAATAAAATAAAAAATTTAAACTGTTGCTCAAATATTTTCAATTAAATTAATTATCGCGAAAATGAGTTTTAAGGTATTATGTACTTCATTTACTAAATTTCTTTCATATCTTCTTAATAAACATCGGCGTACTTTTAGAGATCATATGCTTAAATTTATTTTCTAGAAAAGGCAGATTCGAAATTTTGTTTCAATTCAAAACTTTTAGATTCAATCAAGAATATTTAAGATTTTCCCTCCTCTAATATTATAATATTATAGTGATTTATGTCAAATTAGGATATCAGAGAGAGTATATTCAGGACTGAATGAAATCGTAATCCTCAAAACTATGTAAACAATAACAGAATAATGTTCTTTAATGCTACTCTTTAAAGTCCACAGAGGACACCCATTATAGAAGTTACAAGTTAGAAAATAATATAAAATAATAGCCACACAAGCACAGTACAAAAAGTGATCAAAATGATTATTTTAAAACTCTTTAATTACTCTCAGTGATAGGAATATAAAATGTTGTCAATGTTTTTGGCATCTGTACAGTTCTTTCAGCTACTTCATACAATATGAATGGATATATAGGCAGTTTATGGTAATTTCCACAGAATTCTGCTCTTGGAACACCTAAAAAATTATAGCAGTTTTTTAGAAAGATATATTAGCACAATATTACTGCTGTTAAGAACAATCTTTTATGATTTTTCTATATTTAAGCAGAAATGACAAAAATTTTAAGAGATTAAATTTTATAACACTCAGAAAATGAAATGCAGAAAAGTTACGTACAACCAGACTTAATGAACTTTCAGATATAACAAAGGAACCTTTTTGTCCCATCTTCTTTCCTATACACTTAATGCTATTTGATACTCTTACAGCAAATCTGCATGAGTATGAAAATTATATATAATAAACTATACGGATATCTTCGATTTGAATAATTTTTTTCCATACTTTTTCTAGAATTTTAATATGTTTTAATTATAAAATTACTAATCATTAAATTCATCCACATTTAGGATATCAGGATCAACATTCCATCGATAATGGAAAACATCTTTCTGTTATTTCACACTTCTCTGCCTTCTAAATAAAGCCTAGGTGAGAAATGTGCGACATCAACACTAAGAGAATGGGGATACAATAGTGATATCTTAGAAATATACTTGATATTTGATCACTGAACTAAAGGTACTTGAGCAATGACAAGAAAAATGTGAATAGGTTCTTTGATTACATTGACAGTCTTTGATCGAGCTCCAGACTGAAGCAGTGATGAAAATTTTGAAATTCACTATTCTGGGGAAGAGGAAGTAGTCAATCCTATGAACTTGTGCTTTTACAGTTGATTCTTCTTTTAGAGAATGAAAAGGTTTTATCTTTTTTGTTTTGTTTTGTTTGAGTATAAATGCTCCCTAAGTTCTATCTTCAAAACAGGGTTTTACATTCTTCAGGTCTTTTACATAAGATGCTCTTTGTAAAGTGTATTGAATTTTTGTATTTCAACCATGGATATCTTGGGGTAAATGACTGCATTCTCACTGGATATCAGATAAGACAAGTAGATGATGTAATTATCTTCCTTTTTCATATTTTCCAGGGAAACAAATTTCACATATTCTTGGACTAAACTCTCTGCACTTTTTTCTGCATTAAAATTACATCTACATGGCAAGCAGTAAATGCAAAACTTCTGCATTGAGGATAAAGTGAACACAGTTTGAAGAATACAAAATGTATGCATTCAAACTGATAACAACTAGAAATGCAGTTTAATCAAATCTGATATTGGTATTATATGGAAGGGAACTATTTTCTGCTAACAGGGCAAAAAAATTCGATCAATGAAAAAATTAAGAAAGATGGAGCATAGGGATGTCGAAGTACTACTGATAAAATGGCCACATGAAATATGAAATGGCCATATGAGTCTTTCGATGCATCTGTGAGTGTGAGAAAGGGGACTAACTAAAGTTCAGATTCATCATTTCATAATAATGATAAATCACAATTCCTTTAATATTGAGTACAAGGATACAAAATAATGACAAGAAACTTAGAGAAATAAGGTAATTATAAAGCATAATACTATAGTTCAAACAATCAATAAATACTATACTAAATTAACTGATCAAGTATCTAAATTATGAAGACTTAAAACTTGCCTTTATCCCAAGGCAAAAACTCAAATGCTCTAGCAAATACATGATTATTGGTCAGCATTTCATATTTCCATTCTGTTGCACATGGATTAGGAGCAGGTGGGAACATGTAAAATCCTACACGTGAAGAAAACAAATCCAATTACCATACAAAATAAATTTTAAAGAAATATACATTAAGAAGTAATAAAAGTATGAACAAAAAATTATTAAATTTCTTTATATTAATAAAACATGCTCTACAATTATCCTACTGATGATAACAAACAAAGTTACATATGTATTTATAAGTTACATTTCATAAATAGTCTTGTTACCACCAGGGCTCGGTATTTCTTAAATCAAGATCTGATTCTATACATATTACTAAAAAAGATACAGATTAAGATGCAAAATCTACTGATATAACTGATCACACACACACACACACACACACACACACACAAAAAAAAAAAAAAAAAAAAAAAAAAAATGAAGCATGCCAACGAGAAGTAATGCATACAAGATTTGTACACCTTTCTGCACACGAAAATTAAGTACTTTTAAGGAGCATCAATGAAAAAATTAAGGACCTATGAGCAAATCGGAACTGAATAAATTCAATTAAAAATATTATCCATGCCTGAATTTTTGTAATACCATCCTAAAAATAAAATAGATCCCTAAGTAGTACTTATTATTACTAAACATGAATTAATTAACATAGTTATTAAAAAGTTTGAGAATAAAATAAACTTTAAGCAATTTATCAAGTAGCATTAAATATCTTATAACAGTTGGACATATTATTTGAAAGAAAATAAGTGACATTTACGTTTTACTAACAGTTAGCTTTATGTTGATTTTTTTTAAATTTTTATTTCTCATTTTGTCACATACTTGGTCAGTCTAGAGGTTTAGTAAATAGCAGATAGATTATGTCAAACGGCATAGGTTAAAATAAGAAGTACGATCATAGCATGATTCATAACAAAAGACTGAATGTTATTACTGCTGCTGCTTGTCTAGAGAGAGAGACCTGCTGATTAGAATAAAACTGAAAGGCCTAATCTAGGCATGGTTGACAAGTGTTGAAAGTTAGTCAGGCTCTGTTTGATGCAGTTAGTGTCGTAGGTTCATGTAGAATTCCAGGGGTTGTAACCCAGTTAATACACTTTAAGGCTCCAATAAGCCATCAAAGCACTAGAGGTGATAAGTTATTTTGTATTATTTTAAGTCTCACTAGATGCAAAGAATAAGTTTTACCGTAATTTATGGAAGAATTAAAACTTAAATTTTCAACGGGTGCGGTGTTTAGATGCACTAAAAATAAAATATTTCCTATGATGGTCATTGTACATAGATTGGTGATGTTCCCACACAAAAGACCATTCAGTTACTTTTTGTGAACGTTATTTTGTTTACATTCTTTCCCTTGAACGGACCTACACGCCTTATTCACCCTAAACGAGATCTCAGAACAATAACATACTTTCCCATTTCAAATCAACATTCTCCATCAGTTTTAATAGTCTCTCTTCTCTCCCCCCCTGCCTTTTCTGCAATTTTTTTTCACAGGCGGACACGACTCCACCTGCCTCGCAATAATGAACTCTGACGTATTTCCCCTTCAGCATGAATGGATTTTTCTTGGCATTCTGCTAGATACAGATCCCATCAGTTTGGGTACAAGTACTTGTTGGATAGTTTTTAAGTAAGAAGGGAGTGTAAAATTTTTGAAAATGTCACCTAAACAGCACAGAAGCTATACTGCTGGTTTTAAGCTTAATGTAATTTCACGTGCTGAACAAATTGGAAATAGAGCAGCAGCTCGAGAGTTGGAAGTGGACGAGAGATGTATTCCATGTTGGAGAACTGAAAAAGAACTTCTTAAAAATATGCCACAACAGAAATGAGCTAAAAGAAGTGGTACTGTAAGGTGGCCGAATCTAGAGGACGACCTTGCAAACTGGATAAAGGAGCAACGAGGAAAGGGAATGGCAATTTCGACAGTAAAAATTTGCTTACAAGCAAAATTTATAGCAAAACGAATGAACCTAAATGATTTCAAAGGAGGGCCTTGCTAATGTAGCAGATTTATGAAAAGAAAAAATATTTCTGTGCGCACTAGAACAACAGTCGGGCAACAATTACCAATGGACTGGCAGGATAAAAAGGCATCTTTTCTAAAATATGTGACAGATATTACTGACAAAAAAAACTTCGGTCACAGATAATAAATATGGATGAAGCGCTGTTTGCTTTCGACTCTCCTGCAAACAGAACTGTTGATGAAGCTGGTGCAAAAACTGCATCTGTGCTTACGACGGGGCATGAAAGAACGTCATTTACATGTGTGTTAGCTTGTGCCGCAAACGGTGACAAGCTAAAGCTGATGATCATTTTTAAACGGAAAACTATTCTGAAGGGAGATTTTCCTAATGATGTAATTATTTGTGCAAACAAGAACGGCTGGATGTGTGAAACAATCATGCATGTGTAGCTACAAAAAGTTTGGCAGTGTTGTAAGGGATCTTTTTTACAACCAAAAATGTTATTGATAATGGATTCCATGCATGCTCATTTACTTGAGTCAGTGAAAACCAGATGTCAAAATTGTCTACGACCATAGCAATAATTCCTGGTGGCTTGACAAAAATCTTACAACCGTTAGATTTGTCAGGTAATAAATCCTTCAAGCTGAAGTCCGAAAGCGGTGGGAGTGTTGGATGAGTGAAGGATTGCATAAGTATACCAAAAGCGGTAAAATGCATAGAGCATCTTATGAAGAAGTTGCAAAGAGGATAGGAAGTACGTGGAAATCAGTAAAAACTTCGTCAATAATAGCAGGATTCAAAGAAGCTGAAATTATATCCTTAGATAAAGAATTATATCCTTAGATAACCTGTAAACCAAGAGGATGAATGTGACGATCTGGAAGACTTGGACTTCAATCAGGATTTACTAAATCTTTTTAATTCAGATAATGATGAATCAGATTTTGATGGCTTCATGTGATATATAGTTTGCTGTAATTCCTTTTGTAAGTAAAATTTAATATTTTGTTGTTGCAACATTTTTTATAATATAGTCTGACTATTACAAATATGCACTTCTTTAGTGGGTAAATATAAGTATATACCTGAACGTAAATATGTTTTCCACATTTCTTACCTTTAATTTATTTTTGAGTTATGGTTTCATTTCATGCATTTTTCTTAACTGATATGTCATATATCAGGACTTAGGTTGAGATTTTGCACCTATACGGCCCACGACGATGTCACGTGCAATTTAATCTATTGCGGCGTTTCTGTGTAATTTAAATTTTTTCCCCCATCATTTTTCTCGAGTGCAGCTTTTACACTGATGCGGCCTTTCTTCCGGAAATTACGGTACTTGAATTTTTACATTTTTGTATTTCATCTTCACAGTGAGTATTTATGAAAGGCAATAACTTGCTTTAATATGTAGAGATAATTTTAAGGGTAAGCAGTTAGTTGTAAATAATTAAATTAGGTAGTTTGATAAACTTAAACATTATGGATTGACATGGCCACTATTAAATTTAATTTTTTAACAATATTTGCTAAAAAAGCCTTATTAAAATCAAAATCTAATAAAATTTCACAGTTTAAAATACATGTAATTTATGATATTGATTCTTAAATAATATTAGGATAATTACACATTAAAAGCTACAAAATGTTTATGTTTTGTAACAACAACACTCAACAAAATATTTATCCGTCATTTTAATTTGAAGCCTTCTCAAACATTTTGACTAGTTTATATCGATTTCCTTCTCTTTAAGCATTTTTTCCAACAATTAGAGATTTGTCTCAATATGCAAACTAATGCTCTCGCTAGTTTCTGCATGCTTTATCTCTTAACTTGTCAACCTCTCCACAATGTACCTATGAGGGTTTACTTGATCTGCTAAATTAAATAGTCCAAAATCCCCCACAGACGTGAAGCATTTTATTGCTATGTCTGAAAGTAACTACAATAACAAAGGTTTAAATAAGCCTCTTATTTAAAAAGAACTTTGAACATAAAGGCATGTTCAGACGCTAACAAAATCAATTACAGCTCACAGTGACAATTAAACAAGAACAATCAAAACAATAAAAATGTGGAATAGTGGTCAAAGATTATACAATTTAATTTCAATTTAATCTGGCTCAGAAATTCTATCATATGAGAAAATAGAAATGGGAAATTATAGTAAAGGCTGAAATCATAAACAATTGGATAATTTACATAATAATAACTGCACATATCTTTGAATAATTTCCTTTATGTATTCAGTTTCTTTCTTCAACACGTTTCCTTTTCATTTCAGAACTTTTTAATTCAATTAAGGATTTCTGTTATTCTAAAAAACACTAAATGCATTTAAAATGCATAGAAAAAGTGGCTAATTTTATTTCTTTAGTAATATGAACATTTAGAAGAAATATGAAATATATACGACAAAGGCCAGTTACAGAGCTGATGTGGATAAATTTTTTAGAATTTAGTGACACACTGAACAACAAAATCTAGAAACAGCAAAACTTTTAGAATTTAGAGCAGGCATTGGAAGCAGAATTTTAAAAGGCAGCAGAATTTAGGATCCACAGAGATTGCATCATGTGGGAAAATGCCTATATGTGTATGATGCATTAAAACATATTAAATGAATCTTTTAAATTGTATGTTTTCAATTTCTTTATTAATAAAAAAAATCCCTTTCTATAATGCCTGCCCAAGTGATAAGATTAGAAGCATTTTTGATATTTTCCATGCTTGAGTCTAGTGAAAAGTAGAAAAACTAAACAGATGACAAACATGTTAAGATTCTAGTATCAGAAGTAAAACATTCAAATATTATGCTTTCATTGTTCTTCCAGATGTTCTCCAAAAAATAAGAAATTCATTGCAAACTTTCTGTAAAATACATCCATTATGTGTTGATACCATAGAGACATTTTTCATTTTGTCACATATTTCTCGAATCTTCTAGAATCATGGGTCTATAAATCTTCCCTTCAAATTCTTCTAAACCTTCCAAGCTGCAATGTCTAAAATCCTAATGAAAAATTATCCCTACCAATTCTGTCACAGCAAAAAGTTAGAAATATTTTGGAATAAAAAAGGAGGTAAAAAGTGTAAAATTAATTTTATATAGAAAACTGGTGCATATTCTGAGAATTTTCTATAGAAATTGATCTTAAAATCGCCAAAATGTTGATAAGTCGCCAAATTTAGAACCATTTAATAAAAGAATTCACATCTCCAAAAGCAAAAAGTTGTTTAAGAACTCTTTATTAGAAAAAAATGAATTTTGAATGTTTCACTTCTTGCTTAGAAACTTGAGTATCCCATCATTTATATTAGAAATTATAACCCATGAACCCATTCAAAAGATATATGTCACTGAATCGCCAAAAAATATTCCTCCAAAATGCTAATTCACTCTCAAAATGGCAGTCATAAAAACAGACAGAAATTTCAGGTGATTAAAATTAAGGACCTTCTGCTGAGTTTGGCCAAAAATCGATTCCAAAAAATCTAAGGACTCTTAAGGACCGTACAAACCCTGTGCATAAGGATTCAAGAAAAACTGACAAATCATCTTACCATGAATTCTTCTCAGATCGTGGCCCCATGGGTAGCGTGCCTTCCTGGAATTTTCTGCAATTGATTTGTTTTCAATTTTCTTTGTTCTCAGAAGGCTATTCAGAAAAAGAGATAAAAGTTAGCCTTTCCACCTTTTTTTTTTAGTGGAAAATTATTTAATGTAAAATCTAAAAACATTTTACTAACATACATTTAAGATGACAACATATAAAGAAACATATTTTTAAATCTTTTTATGATGGAAAAAAAAAAAAAGTTTGTCCATAAGATGGCTTCTCACATTAAACATAGACAGTTAAGTGATCTAACAACAATATCTTAAAGGAAAAACTAAAATAATACATTGATGTTCATCAGAAATGCTAATAAATAAATTATAAATTACTCTACTATGTTTTCTAAATGTTCAGCTACATAAGTATGGCTTTCATAAAAATATTTCAAGAGAAAAAATACTTTATTTTTGGAACAATATGTATCAATATTTAAATAACAGATTTAAAATTCATTTATTATACAGTTATCTTAATCAAAATATAAGACAACCAAATTTTTATTTTTTATTTATTTATTTTTTAAAGAATTTTATTTTTCATGGGAACTAATATTACAGAAGGCAAACTGAATTCAACAATATTGTACTACCCAATCCTAAAGTCAAAAATACCGTATTTATATTTTGCAGTTGAAAGTAGTTGCAGTAAATAGAAAACTAAAGCCCCATCCCTCCTTTTCATCTACATACTGCATGAACTAAACTGATTTCAGCAGTTCTGAGTGAAATTTCACTCTACAGACATGTTCAACTTCGTTGTGACAGAAAATGGCTGGTTTGAGAGTGGAACAAAGGATTGGAACTATTTTTAATGCTAACCATGGCATACATACTTCTATGTCCAGAGTAGTAGCCATATATATATTTCTTTTAGGGAAGGGACAGTGTTAAGACAAAGATCATTCAGGCAAGCCACTAGCATCTCTTATACTGACACAAACGTCAACAGAATTTACATGATGATCAGCAGTGAGTGAAAACTGAGTGTGCATCATGGAGTTAGGAAAGAGATGAGATGGCTGAACTGGTGTTTCATATACATTTCCTTGAAGCAGTGATGCACCTTTCTTGGTGATTAAAACATTCAATGACTTGCAATCAATTAATAGCTTTTGACAGGATTCAAGGAAAAATTTTGTAATTACATCATAAAAATAAGTACAACTATGTGTGTATATATATATATATATTTCTACAATATTTCAGAGTCCTAAATATGTGAAAAAATATTTCATTCTAAATGGAATTAAGTGCTTTGCTTTTATCAGAACATTTTTAATTTGAATAAAATGTTTTCACAGGCTTTTGCTAATTACATTAGAAAGATATTTTAAGGCAATTTGATTTTATCTGGTTAATGATTGCAAAATTTAAAACCAAAGTTTATTGAATTTTTAATGTTAAAGTTATGCATTATTTCTTTTCTATTTATAGAGCTTCTTTCTGAAAGTTTTTTCTACATATGAGATGATTTTCAGCTTCTGAGATTTCAAATCAAAATTCATAGTCACTCTAAAATTAATGCTCTGTTTGGTTTCTTTCAAATTAAAGCACCTTTGTTATTTAATAATAAAATATGTTAAATATTGCTAATTTTCATGTACTTAACTTTCCATGAGTATTTCTGAAGGGGAAGAGGGTGTCGTTAATATTATTTAAAACTTGTAACTGAATTATTATAGAACGTAAGGAAATAATTCTTTTAATACTTGTAAAACAATTTTTTAACCTTCATTTCAACAATAATCATTCTAAAAATTCTACTTTATTACTTCCTTAAGTACTCATCTCATAGACTGTGTTTTACAACCCATTTTAATAGATTGTTTCCCAGTATGAACAGTTTTTGCTTAAATAGTTTTATAAATATATTTTTAAACAGAATTTCAATTTATGTTTACAATTAGATAGATGTTAAGGTAATTACCTATTTTAATTATACACTCATGCTAAAAAAATAAGCAATAAACGCTAAAAGAAAAGGTACGAATGCAAAAATGGGAACTAAAACATATAGTTTACATATGAGGTAGAGGCTGCATTGCCAAATACAAAAAGGAAACCAAAATTAGCATAAAATACAATTCCATAGACACACAATGCCTTGAAAAAGGCATGGAGGACCCGAGTGTCAGTTTGCAAACAGCGATAGTTCCATGTAATCTAAAATAGCCAAAGTGGAAAGCATGAGCCAAAGCCACCATCTGCATGGTGAAATGTATTGTGTCGGGATATTGCAAACTGGTGCAAGACAATTCGCTGAGCTGAATGTGCACTGTAGTATCATCAATTGGCATATGGAATCATTACAAAAGGGATCAAAATCTCTGTAGAAAGCATGATTATGGATGTCACAGGATTACCACAACAGCTGAAGATAATTTCCTATTGCTGCTAGCATGATAGTTGACACTGCATCTCTCTGCTGCTGCAGGACAGCCCAAATATCTCGCCAAACTGTGTTGTGTAGACTGCTTGATGATGGACAGTATGCTCGATGACCTGCAGTTTGTGTTCTTTTGTATTCACTGCATGACAGAGCACGGTTGAATTGGACTCGTGAACATCGCAGTTGGAACCCAAAGCAGTAGGTTCATATACTCTTTACGGATGAGTTTCAATTTAACATGCAGAAGGATTCCCGAATGGCAGTGATATGGCAAGAGCCACAGACATGCCATCGGGCACCAAACATCATTAAAAGAAACCATTACAGAGGAGGAGGCTTACTTGTATGGGCTGGGATAGTAACAAAGAGCCACACCGACTTCTATGGTGCTGATATGTGCTCAATTATTGTAAACTACTTTACAATAACTGTGATGAACCTGCTGATTCCGTCACAGCTATCTGATATTGCAATGAAATTCTACACCCTCTTGTAGCACCACTCTTTTATCACTGCAGTGGGTACCAACACGATATTTATAGATGGACAATGCCTGCCCACATAGAGCTCAAGTGGTACAAAGTTATCTGGAGAATGAAACCATTCTACATCTGCCATGATCTTCTAGATCCCAGGATCAGAATCCCATGGAGTTTATGTGGGACATGTTGGGGACAAAGGATAGCAAGTAATAGTGTGCTGCCATATACCCTTCACAAACACTGACTACAGGAATGGGTGTCACTGCCACAACAAGCAATCAATGACACTATTGCCAGTGCTTGCCATTGTCAAGCATTTCAGCTAGATGGTATCATACGCTTTATTACATTAGCATGATGTAGATGATGCACTGCATATTTTTTTTACCCATTTGGTCTATTGCGATGTCATGGTCATAATGCATGTGTTTTTGTATATCTTTCCTATATTGTTTGCTGTATGGTCTAGTAAAGCTACACCAACCTCTTGGATCAATTTCAAGCAAATCCATTAAATAGTTTTTGTTTTATTCTGTGCTTTGCCTTTGTTCATTATTTTTTGAGCGGAAGTGTATAATCATTATAAATTTAGATATGCTTAATAACTTCAGAGTAACATTTATTTCAGAGTGTTCTTCACATTAACATTCACAGAAATTTATGAATGAATAAATCCTTCATTTTCAAATACATTTAAAAATAATTTAATAAATATTTATGCATTTTGTTAAAGGCAAATGCATGCTGTATACACGGATATGCATAAATACTCATATATAATTAATACTTTTCATTTTCAGTATGTGCAAATCTTTGATTTCTGTGCATTCACTATATTTTTTGAGTAAAGTAATTTACAATAATTTAGCATATACTAGAATTGGAATTTACATAAGAAATATGTATAAATACAAATTAGATGAAAATTACATGCATTATTTTTAATATGCATTCAAAGTCAGTTTTCCTTTGAAAGTCCTCCACAAAGGCATCTCTCTCCTCACAGCAGATAGCCCTTGCATGCTTTACCCTATTTAAAAAACTTAAGCTGACCTATGCACTGAATTACAAATATTATAACATACATAATTTTACTCACATTTAACCATCAAGTTTCAAATGTTTTACTCAAAACCTGTTTGGGGATGCATTCATTATTAAATTAGATTTCCTAGTAAATATATTCTGGAATTCAATACCTCCCTCAGCAATTTTACCCAATTTAACAGTTCTCTGATAATATAATAAATAACAACTATCCATTTCAGACTTAAACATTAACCTCATTGTCATCAATCAGACCACAATTTTCAATGCCTTACTCTGTGCACCAACATTGCTTCATTTTTGGAAGCAGTTAAAACAACTAATTGACCTAAATTCACAAATATCTGAAATTTAAACATTGCAAGGAAATTCAAAATGCAACCATATGTAAAATGTATTGATACACCAATTAGAAGCATTGATGATGATTTCTTTGATGTCTTGAAACTGTTTTAAAATTAGAAGAACTCAATCTCAAAATTTATAATTATTTTATTTATTTTTTTTAACTACACAAAAATAAAATGATAAGTTTAAAATGAGAAAAAATTATGCCTCTCCCTTAAAAATTTTTAAAAAGTGCATATTACAATATTATGTGCATGACAAAAATGTATTTTATTTAAAAAATTTTCATATTTGGAATGTAAAATAAAAGTACAAATGCACTACCAAAGACAATGAAAGAAGTACACAAATTAAAACTCCTGTACCAGTTAGTTATAAGGAAATTGAGCTTTAAAGAGTGTTATATTTTTGTTGTCCAGTAGCTTAGAATTTTATAAAACAAATTCATAATCAAAATTTTGATTGCAAGTTATCAAAAGGTAACCAAGATTGATTTGTTGCCACTAAAAAATTGCTATGATATGCATTGCTACTGCTACACAAATTACCAATGCGACAAAACTACACTAATTGCTATTACCAATCCAACAATGAATGTTTCTTTTATATGTAAGTGTCCCTACTTTTTGATTTGCATGCAACTGTCCTTTGTGGAAGTAATACCCAACTGCCGCCAAGGTAACATGCTCTGGATGTAAGTAAAAGTACCACACCCCCTTTGGCTACCAAAGCTCAACAGTACTGTATTCGGGGAAGGGCATCTCTAATTTCTAC